TTTGCATATCTTGCTCTTGTGCAGTTTTTCTGATGGGAAAGACTGTCATTTTCCAACATAACTGGCACACTTCTGATTTCCTTTAAATCCCATCCACACAGTTAAGTTACACTTGTTTCTGATGTTTGTCTGAGGCTTATGCCTGTCAAATTAAAATATTCCCCAAAAGAGAAAAATATGAATTATCCTCTTAAAATAGGTTTTCATATTTTAGATCCTATTCTTCTGTCATTTCTGTGAGATTTTGGAAGAAAGGACAGAATTGCTTTCTGTCAACCATCCTAGAGAAGGAGCCCTTTACATTGCACTCTTTTTTTTTGTGCCAGGCCCGAAACTAGGTGCAAATTTGCAATTATGATAGTCAAGTATCCCTTTCCAATAGCATCTCCATGTGGGCCTGGATGGTGCTTCCAGGAGTCTGTGAGTGCGATTTCCAAATTGGGCAAATGATGTCTAGAGGGAAACATGGTGGAAGTTCAGAACTAAAACCTCCATCCTCCATGCCCACCCACATACCACACAAGAGGCCGGCTCCCCCACTGCATGAAGGACAGCAGCAAGGAGGTCAGCACGTTACTTCTACTAGTCTAGATGCTTACTCCTTGGTGGTGATACCACGCGGCTTGGCCACTCCTGTTGACCCCAATGCTTTTTTAGTTTCAAGTACATAGGTGGTTTCTAGAGATTAAAGCACTTGAAGGAGTGCACAGTGGCGGGGGTATGATGGGGATGGATGAGACTGGATAATGAGACAGTTCTTTGGCATGAGACTAGGGAGGGTAAAGAAATGATTCTAGCTTGGGAAGCTTAGGAAGAAATCCTATAGCAATTCATTTCATACCTGGATTGTCAGAGCTGGTCCTATTGTTCATTCACTTTTTAAAAACCGCTCCTAGGAAAACCATATGATCCATTTGGGGTTTGCAAGAGGTCTTCCATAATTCAGAGAACTGGCACATTAATTTAATCAGGAACTTGGCTTCTTTTCCATCTCTTCATTTTGTCAATTAAGAGGCATAGCCACAATGGATAGAGTCATTTTGGATGCAAAGAAAATCAAAGTACTCTCGGAGATTTGTTGGGCCAAGGAGACACTCACATGGGACCACTTTAGAGATCAATTTTCAAAGCCCGCGAAAAATAAATGGAAGTGTTCTTGTGTGAGTCTGTTAGCATCTGTAGCACTGCATTATGCATGATCCTGGTCATGTTCGTGGTGCGTCTATTCATCACACTGTTTCAACAAGAGTTTTCCATTTTTGCCAAATGGTCGCTATCAAGACCAAATCCATAGTTTCCTCACTCTGGTTTTCTTGGCAGGAACTTCTCTTGTCTTGTTTTTAGCTGTCTGTAATTTATCTTTGGTATAGCCACGCAGGCTTGGCCTCTTCCTTTAGCAGGCAGTTTTGAAGACTTATATGCATTTCCCTAGTTTTAATATTTGCTTGATAATTTTTCTTTTTGTATCTGTCATTTTTTAAAATTTCATATAAACTTGTTATCATTAGTCTGTCTAAAAGTAGATCTCATTCAGGTAGTTAATAAATAAGACTTTCATGCAGATGTTATAAGAAGGAAAAACATGGCTCTGATTCCCACCCTCTGTTAGTTTACACATATGTACACGTATATAAAGCAAACGGCATCGTGGTTTTTTTTTTTTTTTTCTAACAGCAGTTAATTCATTCATTTTGATGCCAGAGTATGTAAAATGGAAGTTTATATTTGAATTACAGTCCAATAAACTAAGCTGTTATAATCGCCTAATTAGAATGATGTCTGCATTTTACAGGAGTTGGATTTTTGGATGCCGTCACAAGGAGAAAGCCCGGGCGCCATCTTCCTTTTCTTTCACAGATTTAATCTATGCTAATAGCTATTCAAACTCTTCCAGACTGCTGAATATTTGTCTTTAGAGCTTTTTTTCCTTGATGGAAATAGTAATTGCCATTGCTAAAAAAAAAAAATCATTCTATTCTGCCTGTGCTCCAAATCTCCTATTCAAATTTGTTTTATATTGCTTGCTCTGCTGTTCTGGGGTTCTCAATCTCTCCTGATTAAGGACTATTGTTTAAACCTTGTGGATGACACTCATTAATTTGTCAGAAAAAAATATTTTAGGCCAAGTCATTGTTGATGTGGGTTGTCATTAGATTCAAATGTTTGATAACTGCATATTAGGATTGAACGTTTCCTGCTGAACTTGAACAGTATCGCAGGCAATGGTTTACGTGGTGGCACTTATGAAACATACCAAGTTCCATAATTGTCAGCTTTGATGTTTTTCCATCATGCCCTTAAATTAGAGACATATTTGTGCAGTGACCAAGATTTCCAGAAGCCAAATCCCTCTCTTTTCCTAAAGAATGACTTTCCTGAAGGAGAATAGAGCTCACTTACAAATTTCAGTCAGTTGTTTCTTTGTGTTAGACAAGCTTGGAATTGAGACAAATTGGAGGAAATGTGTAATTTTTGACATGGAAAGTCGTAAATTTTTCACTCAGCTTTATAGGCTTAGCCAGAGCTAGAATCATGTTCTTTTGCAACTCTAGACGTCAAGAAAAGCAAGTTTTTGCTCTAGCAGTGTTTGCAGGCTGTGTGCGTGTACTACTGGAGGGAGGGCACGTGCTTTCCAGTGGTACCTACGTGAACAGTTCATTTTCAAGGTTAGATGTTTGCTTTTCATCCAACATTTTATAACGGAAATTTTCAAAATACAGCCAAGCGGAAAGAATTTTCCAGTGAACACCCATACACCTACCACCTAGATTCTACCACTAACATTTTACTATACTTGCTTTATCACACATCTAACCTTCTCTCTGTCCCTTGATCCAGCCATCACTTCATCTCATTTGTAACGCATTTCATGCATCTTATTTTTAATGAGTTGCAAACACCAGTACATTTCCCCTAAAACCCTTCAGCATGCACATCATTAATGAGGGTTCAATATTTATTTATAGTTTATTTCTCTGTGTGAGTAAAATTTACCTAGTTTGACAAAATGCGTACATACCCTGTGTAACCCAAACTCCCATGAAAATATAGAATATTACCATCACCCCAGGAAGCCTCCTTTTGCTGTTTCTCCTTAATCTCTGCCCCTACCCCTATCCCCAGGCAACCTCTGTTCTGATTTTTTCACCATAGGTAAGTTTACCAATTCTAGAACTTCAAATAAATGGAATCATATGGTATGTACTCTTGTGTAAGGCGTCTTTCACTCAGCCTAAATTTTTTCTTCATCCCTGTTATTCCACACATCAGTAGTTCATCCCTTTATATTGCTGAACAATATCCTATTATGTGACTTATATCACAGTTTGTTTATCCAGTCTCTTGTCTGTTTCTAGTTTTTAGCCGTTATGAATAAAGCTGCTATGAACTCTCTTATACAAGTCTTTTTGTGTAAAGATATTTTCATTTCTCTAGGGTGGGATTATAATTGTTAGGTCATAGGATAGGTGTATTTTTTAATTCTCTAAGAAACTGACAGAACTTTTTCTAAAGTGGTTGCACATTTTATATGCCCACCAGTAATGTGCGAGTGGTTCCATTGTTCTACAGTCAGCCTTTTAATTTTTCCTGTTCTGGCAATGTGAGTGGTATCTCATTGTGATTTTAGTTTGATTTCGCAGGTGTTTATTTTTTATTTTTATTATTTTTATTTTGTGAGGAAGATTAGCCCTGAGCTAACATCTGATGCCAATCCTCCTCTTTTTTGCTGAGAAGATTGGCCTTGGGCTAACATCTGTGCCCGTCTTCCTCTACTTTATATGGGACGCTGCCACAGCCTGGCTTGATAAGCGGTGCATTGGTCTGAGCCCCGGATCTGAACCTGGCAGGCCATCGAAGCAGAGTGCGCAAACTTAACTGCTGTGCCACTAGGCCTGCCCCTCGCAGGTGTTTATTTTTAATATGTTTTAGGAAAAAGACAATTAGGACATCAAGTCCATGATTTCAGATGTATCAGGCTAGAGTCAGGGCTGAATACAAAGTGAGTCAATTTAGGATAAAGTTAAATAAAAATACCAGGTAAATAATAGTTGAGGTGGGTATGGATATAGCAAAATTTGTGAAGTGGGTTGTGAATAAGTAAAGGTTGAGAAATACTGTTATGGAGGAGGTCACTTTTCAGACTTCCTCTATTTCCACAGCTTTTTTTTGATGGAGTCAAAAAATCAACATAAAAAATCTTTAAGAAATTCCAATTACCATCATCTGCTACAGAGTCATTGAGCTCTGAGATTAGGATTCTATGTAAGCCTGGGGCGAAAAAGATTTCAGCTATCACCCCTGCTTTTGAGAGCATGCTTTAAACAGTCTAACTGCATAAGTGGAAACAAAAGAAAACTGTATCACAAGGGCAAAATAGGGAGCTGGATGTCAGCCCTCTCTGCAGCCAGCCTGCTGGGTTTGCTCCTTGGTTCCCCCACTTGCTTGCTGTGTGACCTCAGCAAATCACCTTACTTCTCTGGGCTTCAGTTTCCTCATCTGTAAAATGTGGTTAGTAATAGTAACAACTTCATGTGAAGTTGTTGGGAGCACATGAGTCAAATTATGTAGTCAGTGCCATATAAGGGGTGAACGGGCTACTATTGTTATTATTGTCGTGGGAGAACCAAACAGACCAATGAGGGGAACAACTCTGGAGGCCAACATGTCCAACTGAGGCACGAGGCAGGGGAATAAATACGTCTGGAAAGCAGAAAGACCTGCGCCTTCTGAATGGGCATATGTAGGGGTCAGCCTGGTGCTCATTTCCCCTTCTTCTGATGCAGCGACTTGCTCTTCCGTTGGGCAACAGTGTTACCCAGTTTTCCGTGTAGGTGAAGCTGACCCCATTTCTTGGCCATGTGACCCAGGCCTGGCCAGTCAGCATTTCTCATCCCTCAGTTTATGTTGGCTGGTCCAGAGATGGACAAGGGATCTCAGTCAGAATAATACTACTCGATTGTGGGGTTTCTGCTGGTGCTATTGAGAAACAGCAACTCCCTCTCTTTCTGCTGGAGTTGCTAAGTGGTAAGAGACAGTGATGTGCTGCCGGAAGTCATTTTGCCACCCCCTGGGGAGAGCCTGCCTGAGACTGAATCCCACAAAGAGAGGGAGAGAGAGAGGGAGAGAGAGAGAGAGAAAGAGAGAGAGAGATCTGACAGTATTTGAGCAGCGGGCTCCAGCTGTATTGATCTGACCTCACCAGCTGTGGGCTAACAGTACCTTTTTTGCCTAAGCCAGTTTGAGTTTGGCTTCTGTCATTTATGTCCTGACAGAGTCCTGATGAATATATCTTTTATAATCGAGGGCACATTTTTGCGAGATAAGTGCCTTGAGTTAGGGGGCATTGCTGTGCTACGTAAATGTCTTTCTCCACTGAAACTTCTGTAGGTGGTTTGTTTAGATTACATGGGCACAATGGCAGAGCGGGGCCTTTGAAATCCCCTTACAGATCAGGAGGCAGGTTCAGAAAGAAATGATGCCATCAGTTTGTTGTGTAGCAGCATGGGAACCAGGAGGAGACGTTGGTTCTCAGGGTCATCTAGACTCCCTGGTCTGTGTGAGATGGAATGGAGCGGGATGGGACTGGGGTAGGGTAGGATTCTTGGGCAAGTCTATGCTCCATAGGTACTTCCCTGGTCCTGTGACTAGGACGGGGAGGTAAGGAATCTGCTGCTCTGCTCTCCTCTTTCTGTCCGTCAGCCTTTCTTAGATGTTGCTACTGAGACTCTGCCCGCAGCTCTCAATACTCTCTGGTAATATCTCTGGTAATAATCCTATCTTATATCCCTGGACTAAGACTCACAAAAGCATGATGTGATCATCTGATTTCAATTGGCCCAGCCATCTGGAAAAGGTGCCTTTCAGTCGTCTGGTTGCCCTGGAACTAAGCGTAAGATTATCACATCTATATTTAGTGACTTCCTAATCACAGTATCAATAAACATGGCTGCTTATTACAAAGCTGGATAGTTGCACTTATTCTTGTTAACATCTCATGTGCTTCAAAGAGTAATTACAGATGATGAGAAAATTTAGGTTCAAAGGATTGTGCATATTATTGAGTGATGAGTGAAGGGTGCTTGAGAGGTGTCATAGGGTCAATCGCTGAGGCTATACCGCCTGCTCGTGCACAGCTGAAGGAGAAGCGGCATGAGCTTTTCCCTGGTGCAATCATTGCAACTCCACAAGGGCCTAAACTGTGGAACTTGAACCATGCCGGAAAATGAAGAGAAGTGGTGCCAAGGAATAAGTGGGTTTTGGGCAGGGTGGAGGGGTGGGACAGAAGCCAAGCAAAGTAACCTGTGATGATTAGCGAGAATTTTCTGGCCATGGTCCATTCTCTCTTCACTTCATTTATTTATTTATTTTTACATTCAATTCATTCATTCAAAAAAACATTGAGACTCTACTTATGTTGCCAGGACTGTACCAAGTGCTGGGTATACAATGAGGCTGCCCTCACAGAGCGGATCGTCCGTCTGGGGAGACAGAGGTTAAGGTAGCATCGTGATGATTACTACAGAGCACAGTGACAGTGGGAGATGCTGGAATCTCAGCTGGGCTGCACGGGTCAGGACAGACCTCCCTGAGAGCCTGACGTTGAAGCTGAGACAAGAAGAAGAAGGCGAGTTAGGTCAGGAGCAAGCAAGCAGTAGAAAGACCACTTCTGAGCAAAAGCACAGGTGGATGTGAAGGCCCTGAGACGGGGAGCGGCTGGCTCCCTGGAGACAGGTGAACGAGGCAGGTGTGGCTGGCGATGTGGCTGCAGCTGGAACAGGTGAGATTCTCTTGGTCACAGATCAGAGGCTGGTTTTTGTCTAAAAGTGCCACAACACTGACAGGTTTAACCAGAAATTGTACATTTTCCTGGGATTGGCACGTATCTGGTTTTAGATACGCGTGAGATTATTTTCATTTTATTTTGTGGTTTTAATCACTATAGATAAAAATGAGGCAAAGGAATTTATGAGGCAAAGAAATTAATAAGTAGGGCAGCAGGGACAGAGAACTTGAGAGAAAGGAGTTGGGGATTTTCTTTGTTCCATGATGCCATTTTAGAAGTTTTTTGTTTCTCCTTTTCTAGGTGCATGTTTTGGAAAATAGCAAACAAAAGCTGTCAAATCATTTTGTGAAAGAGTTGTCTTTCCAAACTTTGTTAAAATTTTTAAGGCTATAACTGCCTGTGAGATTTATGAGTCTTTCTAGAATATGCCAAAATTTATAAGGTAGCAACTGGAATTTTAGCACAATGTGATAATTGATTGACTCGGGCTAATCAAGTTCAAGTCCAACTTTTCAATCACTAGATGTGTGACAATATGTGGTTTAACCTCTCTTTCTCTTATTTTCTCTTATATACAAAATGGAGACAACAATATTAACTACAGGGTTGTTGTTAGGATTGTGAAATAATGCATTTAAGCATGGTGGCTGGTAAATAAAATAGCATATGATCAGTCAACCAATAATAATACATAAAAATTTTAGGGGGAAATTATCTTTTCCCACCAAATAGATTGTGAAAAATTACATGTTTATTGTAATATACCATTTTATAATACATATGTGACAAATAACAGAAACCTAAGTTCACACACACAGACAATAGATAATATACAAAAGTATTAGAAGGCAATCTGAAGGATTAGAAGTCTGGATGAATGAATAGATAATGAATAGAGAATTCACAAGAATGAATGAATAAGAGATTAATTAAAGCTAACCTGTGATAGAATTCAAATACAAAAAGACAAAGCCAAGTTTAAATGGGTACATAAAAAAAGGCAAAAAATCATTTCAGAGGGTTCAAAAAACAATAAAAAGAATTTTAATTGATGTTTGAAAGCAAAGGGGCAGAGAGAGGAGCTGACGGCTAATAAGTATCTTCAAGGGCAGGGGAAGTGAGGGCAACATATGGAGCTGCTGCATGTAATAGAGAGGGGAGGTGGGGGGCTGCCTGAAAGCATTCAGATGAAAAACTAGATATGTGAAAAATCAGGCTGACCCAACAGTTTTCAGCCCCAGGAATAAAGTGATAAATCCTCCAAATTAACGGAAAATAACAATGGACACCCCAAACAAACCCTCTCTGGGTGTAGACCACATTCTGCGCCCCTCTCTCTCGCCTGATCTGCTCCCAGGCCTCTGCCCTGGCTCCTGCTGAGCCACGTTAGCCTGGTCCTGTGGCTGTGTGGAAAGACAATCCCTCGCTGTCCTTAGTATAGCCAGCCATTCCTTGGATGAGTTATGCTGAGATTTGATCCTAATTGTTATGGGTGTGATGGCCGGGAGGGCATGTGTGGAGGGCAGATCATTCCTAGTGAGGCACTTGAGTAAGGCGAACCCTCTTCAAGGAAGGGTGTATGTGGGGGGCAGTGGGCTCTACCCTCAACTCTGCGGAGTGGGCCTCTGCTGCAGACCCCAGGAGTTCAAGGGAATCGGGGGGACGAGGTGTCAAGGTTCTCAAGTATTTCTACTCAGACACCCCATCCATTCCCAGGGTCCCTATTCTTCCCCATCAAGGCCCTGACATGGGCTTTTGCTGGGAATCCAACCTTCTCTTGACTTCTACCATTCTTACCAATAAGTCTTCCAGCTGCAGGAGCTGAGGATCACTGCAAAAACTGTCAAAGAGTTTTCTTCTTCTTTACTCTCATACTTTGCTTTAAACTGTTGATTAATAAATCTGCCAGTTATTTTCTCTCTTTATTAAATGCCCCAGTCCTTATAGTCACTGTTTCCCACATACTGTCTAAACGCCTGTCTCATTGCACAGTTAATGCGTCTCTTTCCACATGTATCCTGTCCCACTTTTCTGCAGGTAAAGGCCTTAGCAATCACCATGCCAGGAACTAGCAGCACTACACCTCCCACCAGCGACGTGGCCCTCCTTTCCAACTAGCAGGCTGGTGACGCGCAGTCTCATCCTCAGCATTATTTCCTAGGGCCATATGCAATACCAACTCTTTTTTTTTTTTTTTTTTTTTTTGCTGAGGAAGATTCGCCCTGAGCTAACATCTGTGCCAATCTTCTTCTATTTTGTACGTAGGTCGCTGCCACAGCGTAGCTGCCGACGAGTGATGTAGGTCCGCTCCCGGGAACTGAACCCGGGCTACTGGAGCAGAGTGTGCCAAACTCAACCACTAGGCCATGGGGTCGACCCTGCCATACCAACTCTCCTAGGGCGGAGTCCCAAGAAGGAGCCTGATGTGGGGCTTCTTGCTCAGGTTACCGACTGGGAGGGTGCTCTCTGGAGAAGAGGAGTGAGAGAAGCAGGGATGGGGCAGAGAGGAGAAACTGGACGAGGGTGTGAGATGAGCTGGAGACCAGCCTTCCCTTGTGGAAGAGCCGGGGCAGGAGTGCACTGCAGAGCTGGCCCCCCCGGGTGAGGGCCCAGGCTTGGGTATGAACATCAGTCAGTGGTTGATCACGGTCTGCACTGTCGGCCGCCTGCACCTCCCCACAGAGATATAAAGAGTGGGCAACTCTCCACTGAGTTGTTGCCAGCCGCTGAAATAACTTTCTAGGCTCAAGATGGAGCTGCTCCTGCTTCAGCTAATGGAAACTTAGATACTTTTGTGTTCTTGTAAATGCTCCAGTTGACCAGAAACACAGCATATCCAGTCAGCCAATCCCCAAATGCCAAGCCGACTCTGGGCTCTATCCTAATGGAATCCTTCTCACCACAAATAAGGTTGACCATGTGGACCCAGCTACTAATTTTGTCTTCCTTGTTCCTTATTCCTTGTTCCTATGAAAGCTTCCTGCCTTCCACCCCATTTTACAGTTCTCTGCATGCAGACTGTCCACTTCATAAAGTGTTAAAGTTTGTATCACCTAATTGTCTTCTTTAATCATTTTTTAACACAGCTAGCGCACAGAGTGGCTGGGGCTGGGTGCTCCAGGCAGTAGGGAGAGTGGGGCCCCAACCTCCCCACAGCCATCATTGTCATTGTCACAGTGGGTAATATCACTGAGGAGCAGTTTGTAGTTTTACAACTAGAAAGTTTCCCTTTGATGATTCTTGTGAAACTAATGCTATTTTTTTCCTTCTACAAGAGGTTGTTTTCTTAATGTTAAACTGTGTCTAAGTGGAAAAGCCTTTCAATTTTAAGGGAAAAAGCAAGTGAATTTATTAACTAGAATATTAATAAAAAGGTTTATTGCAGTAATTTTCTCTTCTCATTCCCCACCAGGCCCCCTAACACATTTCCACACACACTACTTTCCTAAGAATGTCTTACTATTGGCTTCTGAGGTAAAAACACCTTTTTTTTTGGTCAGCTGTAACCCAGGCAAAGGTTTCCAAGTTGGTGAATTAATCTACTGTCTCTCACTTAAAACTAGCTAGGAGGGACACAGCATCACATTATATATTCACAAAAATACAACTTTAATATGTAAACTATAATTAATTAACATTTTGTGTAGAAAAATCCATTTTGTTTCAATCATTTCATGCGAGCACCTGAGAAATTGTTTTTCTGAAAGCTGCTAGGAAACTTCCAGAGTGATCTATTGAACTATAAATGTGAATCTATTTATAATGTACAAGCAAATAAGCTCCAGGCACGTTCTTATCATTTCAAGCTTCTCTGGCTAGTCCTCACAGCAGAAAAGAAAAAAAAAAGTGCTTTTCTGAAAGGACCTCTAATTTTCCTCCCACATTCAGCTTACATGAAGGAATTTGGGGAAATTTTGCTTTTAGTGAAACCCATTTATAAATTTTTCTTTCTGAAAATATTATAACCATGGCAGCAATCACGGGCACAGGAAGCGCTTGATCTTTGGTAAGTCGTTGGTGATGAATATTGCAAGTGAGAGCTACTAAGTCTGTATTGTAGGAGCAGTGGGCTGAAGTATCTGGTTAAAGGGGAAAGAAGTCTACATTTCAGATTTCGTGTATACTTCTAAGACCACAGTAGATATGACCTTTCAGGGAAAAAATGCCAAAGAAGTGGATTGCTTCCCCTGCCAGGAGACAGAATTTTTGAGCAGCTCTCTGGAGAGCAATAATGGTCCAGCATGGGTTTGACTGATCTGCAACTGGATAGGTAGTAACTTGAAGAAAGTGTTCTAGAAATATTTGAAAGTTATGTTTTCTCTATTGGACTGCCTTGAACATTTACCCGTCGCCACAGGCGTTGTGTGATCTGTAGAAAATGTAGTGCCTCGTGAGCTGTTGGAGGTGAGTGATGAAGGGTGACAGTGATATGTTGAAAGAAATCAAAATTCCCTTTCTTGGTCAGGAACGGTGGCTCGGTTTGAGGCATACCAGCTAAGATTTATTGAGGACTACGGTTGTACGAGGCACTAAGAATTTGAATGTACCTATTTATGAGGGAGGTACTATGACTACCCCCATCTGGTAGGCAGGGAACTAGAGGCAAAGAGAGAGTAACTTGCTCATAGTTACACAGCTAGTTAGTGATAGAGTAAGATTTGAACCTAGATAGTTTGACTCCGGAGCACATGCTCTTTGCTATTTTGCTATACTGACTCCAAAGTTATAACCACAATCAGGAGAAGGAACTTGTAGGCTTACATCATCCAGGTTACTTTGAAGTGAGATGGTGTCCCTGCAAAAGACGGTAAGCAAGGAATTGGATTATTTTCTGATGAATTTGGTCAATCCTGTTTGGCAGCCCATCTATTTTGGAAAAGTCAAGTTGTTAATGGTGGTTTAGAAGTCTCCAATTACTGTTTTTTCGGTCAGCTTTCCTAAATTCTCCACTTCATTTTATTGATCGAGTTTGTACCAGCTGAAAAGAACCCAAGCACAAGGAGGCAAATGAAGAAAGTAGCCTGGATCTGACCTCCAGCATATTTCCCTTTGCCAATGTGGATTTATAGAAGGATTTTGGAGAGACATGTAACTTTAGTTGGGCAAAGGGTGGGAGCCATCATGACCCTTAAAGATCAACTGGAGATGAGGATGCTGAGGGTCACTGAAGGTCAGCGACTCGTGTGGGGTCCCATGTAGTGGTTCAGAGACGGGCTGAACGGGAACCTCGAGCGTTTGCTTGCTCGAACAGAGCTCTCTCCACGACGGTGCCCTGCAAATTGAAGAAGCAAGCTGTCAGGCCGCAATTAAAAAAGCAGTGGGGGGCCGGCCCGGTGGGGCAAGTGGTTAAGTTCTCGGGCTCAGCTGCCGCGGCCCAGGGTTCGCAAATTCGGATCCCGGGCGCGCACGGATGCACTGCTTGGCAAGCCATGCTGTGGCGGCATCCCATATAAAGTGGAGGAAGATGGGCACAGATGTTAGCCCACGGCCAGTCTTCCTCAGCAAAAAAAGAGGAGGATTGGCAGATGTTAGCACAGGGCTGATCTTCCTCACAAAAAACAAACAAAAAAAAAACCATTAAAAAAAAAAAGCAGTGGAAAGTAATAGCTCTGGTGACAAGGCATTTGCTGACAAAGAGGCAAAATCCAGTGGAAAAATTCCCCATTGGAACTCTTCTGCGCCCTTCAGCCTTAGAGTGTCTTCCAGGGAAGAATACGTTTGGCTCAAGTCTACTCTTTGGTACCAAAGATGCCTGATGATGAGGTGGCCGGGGCTGGCTGGGATGGGGATAATGACAAGTTGGCAACCAAAATGAGAATAAAGCAGATTTATGGCTTGAAAACCTAACCCAAACCAGAGTGAAAAACAAGGGGCTATCAACTGCCAAGTGCTGAGGACCTCAGGGGATTTGATATCTCTGGAAATTAGACCAATTTCTTCTGCATCTGTCTAAGCATTTGAATACATCATGATACTGTGATCCTACCTTTGACAGTTGTAGAACAGTTTGATTGTGATTCACAGAAAAAGTGTCCTATTTCTAGAAATTAAAACATCACAGCTATAAGGCTAAATGTTAGTGTCTCATATTATTGGCACATAAATATTTTTTGACTGAATAAATAAATGAATGATGGCTCTAGCCAAGACAGTATGTCCCTGGTCAATCCTTACCTATTCTTGTGTAGAATCAACTTTTAAAATTGTGATCAAAATACTCCTTTTAAATTACTTCACTAAAACTTAATTAAATAACTGCCAGTTAGTATCGTTTGCATAACACCTTTTGGACTGCTTTGTACAATTTCTTTAAAGCCTTGACTAGCTTTTTGTTAGTAGCTAGAGAACACGACCAACACCTCAGGTTTACACGCATCTAATATTCTGTACAATTAAATTTCTGCTTCTTTCTCCAGCTCACCTTATTAGATGGCGATACAACTGTCTTGTACCAACATAATGGGAACATTGCAGGACCAGTGAGCGAATGCCCGAAGTACTTTGATAATCTTACTTGTGTGTGTCTGGTGATTATATTCATTAAATTGTCTGTTGGGAGCAGCACATAAGTGGGTTTTTAGTCTTTGAATTAAGTTGATTTTCAACCTGGCAATGCAGTTAAATTCAGATTCATTTTGAAATGTAGGTATTTTAGAGTAGAAAGAATTGGTAATTTCCCCCACTAAAAGAAACTATGGCTCCTTGGAGAAATGGTTGGAGAAATGGTTGATTCTTGGTCTGGGTCAGGAAGAGCACAAGGTGAGCTGGACACCCTTTTGTTCCAAAAGGAAAGGAAGCTATCAGAGATCACTGAGGATGTGCCGAAAGGACATAGCAGCCATTCTAAGGGGCTCCTACTGCCCTAAGATGGGGTCACTTGAGCTGCCCAAAAAGAGTAATGACTATAATTAGTCAAAACATATTGAATATATAGAAGTTGTGAGTTCATAAAGATAATGAAAAAAAGAAGAGAACAAAAGGAAAAAAAATCTCAAAACTCATTTGTCACCATTAGGGTGGCTGGTGCACCAAACTGATATTCTGAAAGTTTCCATTTAAGGAAAGAATTAAGGATTTATCTTGCCTTACCTATACAGTTTCCTACATAAATTGTATTTTAGGACGCTGAAATTGCCTCAGTTGATGAAGAATGCTTTAATTAAGCAAAAGAATTTTAGTTAATAAATGTGGAAAAAATAACAGTATTATAGAATCTCAGTTTTTCATCCCACAATGAAATAAATGATTCGGGCAACTATTATCAAAATGGATGGCACAAGGATTAGGTGAAAAGTTGATAGGGAACTGGATATTTGAAAGATGTCAAGGTACCAGCCTACAGTATAAGGGAGGAAAGTCAGCATTATAATGGCGGGGAGGGCAGACTGCCGTTTGAGCCACCTGCTCAATCCTAGCCCCCCAAAAGTGGGACATCCTGGCATTGCACGCCTCCTTTGAGAAACAATATGAAATACACAGTAACACCTAAAATGTTCTTGCCAAAAATCTTAAGCTTGAATGTAATCAAGCTTTAAGATCTGAATTCTCATTTACAGGCAACACCAGGAACAGAGGAACAAGTTAAATGACACCACAAGCTCACAGAAAAATCCAGAACGTGGGACATTTCATAGGACCACTGACATTGTTTCTTTAATAAATCACTCAGCATGGAAAAAAACAGGGAGGAGCTCTCTGCAAAAAGATATTTTGAAGATAATCAGGCAAGCTTGAAAATGGCCAAGATATTAGATGATAGTAAGAAATTATTGTTAATTTTCCTAGGTGTCATAATATCAATACTGTGGTTATATAAGAAAATGTCTTTTTTTTAGCAATGCATAGTGAAACATTTAAGAATGGGATGTCATAATGCCTGGGATTTGCTTTAAAACAAATATGGTCAATATGACAAAATGCGAATAAATGTTAACTCTGGGTGCCGGGAATATGGAGTCTCATTATACTATTCTCTGTACTTTTATGTATGTTTAAAAGTTCTCATAATAAAAAGTTTAATCGGTGTTAGGTGCAATAAAATTACTTATGAATTAAGCTCTGAGGAGCAGTTCAAAACATAGAAAAAACTTCAAATTGTTTTTTAAAATACACATATAAGTAAATATGGGATATTTTGCTTATCAAAACTAAAATAGCTGGATGTAATAAGGATTTTTCTTAAACAACCTGTATGTAATAAAAGGAAAAAAGGAGAGGTGGGCAGGCTCTAACATTCTATTTCTTGGGGATACTGGCTTCCTTCTAGTTTCAGAGCTGGACACTGGATGAGGGCTGACACCTACCATCTAGAATTGGAATTTTGGCAGAAATGTGCCATTGTAATTAAAATGCAGTTACTGTAATATAATTGTGAAGTAATACAGACGTGTATAGTGCCGCAAAATCCTAGACAAGGAGAGCCCGTTTTAGCGGCATTATGCCTGAATTAAATGAAGTTTATGTAATTTCCATAGTTAAAAAAAATCCATAACCTGAAACCTCAAAATGCAGTTAATCTAGTTTGAGTGGACAAGCAAGCAAATGTGCTCCCTCAGCATGGGGCCAGCGACCGACAATTCAGAGTTATCTTCACATGATCTCATTACAGACATTTTCAAATTAAAGGTTTCTTTGTGAGTTTAAAGGTAAGTGAATGGTCTACATTTAATGACACTTGTAGTGACTAATATTTCATTCACTACTTTTGAATGACAAGTGCATATTTAATTAGCTTAGAAGTTTATATGTAAACTCCAGAGTTTTAGTGCATTTTGAATATAATAATCATT